CAGTGTGGTCATCCGCCGGTCCACTGGCTGGCCACCGCCTAGGAGCCTTCGTCCTCGACTGGAGCCCCTTTCAGCACAGCCGCACAATCCAGCCACCACGACCTCCCGCACTGGCCCTGTGGTCTGACCTTCCTGACACCATCTGTTCCTACTCATCAGTGACTTGCTTTTAAGAACCCTTACCTCGAACTGTCCCCCTCCCTCACTACTCCTGCCATCCACATACCCCCATCAGCTGTAAAACTTCCCATTCTTTCTGTGCAGAACCTGTCTAGTTCTAGACTACCCTTCCTTCCCAATTTCCCCCCAGATTCCTCCCTGAGAGCCCATTGAGTCATCTCTTGGGCACTTGGTTAATCTAGAGTTGGCCAGGTGGTTTCCCTGTAAAGTTACTCTTTTCTTCCTGTCATTGAACTGGTAATTTGCGGGAGATACTTTCACACTATAAATATCCGGTTTTTGTTCGGGAGGAGGAAGAGCTGGGAAGTGAAAGGGACTAGGGGCTAGGGATTGGGCATGGCTAGGTGGGCATCCAAGCCTCCAACACATTTCTCTTGGTCCCTGGTCTCTTGGTCTTCTGAGGTCCCTGGTCGTCTTGCTTTCCTGTCCATATTCTTTATCGACAGGAATATCCTCACACAGCTCAGGCTGCTCTGAGTCTAATTTTTTTCCCCACAGTTTTCTAAATGAGACTGTGCTCCCTCTTCATATACCTGACTACCCAGGCTCAAGTCCTGCTGAGCTCTGTGGCTCACAACGAATGTGGATTGGAGGCAATGACTCAACATCCCTTCAGTGCTTCAGATTTTGTAGCATACACCCAGCACCTACTTCACAGAGTTGTGCAGATAGTTATTAAAACACTACATGCCCATACTATTTTTTGTTTTGCTTTGTTTTGTGTTTTTGTTTTGCTTTGTTTTTTGAGACAGTTTGTCTGTGTAGCCCTGAGTGTCCTGGAACTCACTCTGCAAATCAGGCTGATAACAAACTCAAGAAATCTTCCTGCCTCTGCCTCCTGAGTGCCAGGATTAAAGGCATGTGCCATCGTGCCGTTAATAAATGCTATCACTTTTCCTTTGCTGAGACCAGCACATGCCCATCCTTCAATTCTCTGTGTAGCTTTGTCTGACCTGGGACTCACTCTTTAATTAAGGCTGGCCTTGAACTCACAGACTTCTGCCTGTCTCTGCCTTCTGAGTGCTAGGATTAAAAGCGTGTGCCACCACCACCCAGCAACAAAGATTACATAATAATCTGTTAGATACTTTTATTTGTTTTGTTTTTTGAGACAGGGTTTCTTTGTGTAGCTTTGAAGCCCTGGCATTTGTTTTGTAGACCAGGCTAGCCATAATAATCTGTCAGATACTTTTATTGTTTTGTTTTTTGAGACAGGGTTTCTTTGTGTAGCTTTGAAGCCCTGGCATTTGTTTTGTAGACCAGGCTAGCCTTGAACTCACAGAAATCCACCTGCCTCTGCCTCCCAAGTGCCACCACTATCCGACTTTATAATTCTAGCCCTCTGGAGGTGGGAAAGTAGGAGAATCAAGAGTTTGAGGCCCACCTAGGTTTCATAGCAAGACTTCATCACAAAACAACAAATGCAACTGGACAGTGTTGGCACACACGCCTTGAATCCCAGCACTTGGCAGAGGCAGGTGGATCTCTGTGAATTCAAGGCCAGCCTGGTCTACAAGAGCTAGTTCCAGGACAGGCTCCAAAGCTACACAGAAACCCTGTCTCAAAAAACAAACACTCAAAAAGCCCACACATCTGGAATTTGCACAAATTCAAACACTTTCAGAAACAAAATCTGAAAGGAAATAAAGCACTTAGAGAATAAATGGTCTTTGACCTTTGATTTCAGACCTGTCAGGCCCACCAGTCTGATTGCGAACATTCTCAAGATCTCAGTGTTGCTCTAAGGTGGTTTTATTTGTTCATTTTCCCCTCCAAATTCCCTATGAACTTATCCACATCAGCAAGTCATAATCCTAACCCTTGGATGGGCTTTCTTAGTTTTAGAAAGCCCTCAGTATTCTGCAGAAATTGTAGCTGCTTTGAGCATGTGTGTTTTCTTTCCTTGACTTGCATCAGATTCTCAAAGGAGGCGATGGCCTGTAGAGGATTCCAAACTACGCCATTGATCTGAGGACTATGTCCAAACCCAGCCAGGGCCCCATTCTTTGCCTCCTCCACGCTTGCCCACCTCTGACCCCACCCACACTCCTGGTTCCTGCCTCTCATCCTTCACCACCTAGCCCACACCCATGTCTCAGAACCTGATTCCACACCTGTGGCTGCTCCCACAGATGGCTCTGGCGCAATACACTCTAGATTTGGCTGATAGTTCATTGGCTCAACCCTGAAACCTGCAGTCAGTCCTCCCACAGTCAAATGGAAGGTGTCTTCATGGCTTGTTGCAAGATAGGATGGGTGCCCCACAGAATTGGCAAAGACCCACTTGGCTTTGTTCCCCCCCCCATTTTTATGACTAGCTTCGCAAGAGTTGACTTGAGGTGGTACCCTGGTAGCCTAAGCTGAAGGAATCTGACTTGGGTTTGTGAAGGACCAAGCAGGTACTTTTACACAAGTAGGTGGAAGGGCAGGGAGAGTCCAGTATTGACTTTTCTTGTTTACTGTGGGTGCCATTTTACATGTGACAGCGATCAGAGTCTTATAGGAGGCAACACAAGAGAATACCTTGAATCAGCTCATCCAGCAAGTTCCCACCAACTCCTCCTCTAGACCCCAATTCTATCCAAATACTAAATGCTTCCCCAAACAAAACCAAACACATTTTGAAGATCTTAGAGCATTTTCTGTCTATTTTTTTCTTGGTTGGTGGGGGTCAAACCTAGACCCCCATTCAGCTGTCTTGAAAAGGTCTATTTTCAAGACATTTGAGAGGTCTGTAGTCTTTTCCCATGCATCGTTCTTCTTAAAAAAAAAAAAAAAAGCTACCTTACAAGTTGTATGGGAGTTGTATACCTGTGATTCTCTAGAGTTTTGAGGCTAAGGCAAGACCCTTGAACCAAGCAACTCAAGACCAGCCCACATAATAGAGAAGACCTCATCTCAAAAACAAGACTAGACAAAACAGAAGCCCAGCCTAAAAAACATGAAGATTGGCTGGGCATTGATGGTGGCGCACAGCTTTAATCCCAGCATGAAGGTAGGCGAATCTCTGTGAGTTTGAGGCCAGCCTGGTCTACAGAGTGAGTTCCAGAACAGGCTCCAAAGGTACAGAGAAACCCTGTCTTGAAAAACCAAAAATCGAAAACAAACCAACAAAGCCCGTGAAGATTCTAACTAAACTAAGAGGGATGGTAGCTTCTGCGTTCTACATAGTTGAACTTTCCCGAAAGAAACCCAGAAAGCTAAAACCACTGAGTTTCTGCTTTAGATGAGTATACTAGATGACATGTGAATTATGTCTCAATGAAACTGTTAAAGAAAAAACCTATATGTTAGTCAGGTGTGGTGGTGGTACACACCTTTAATTCCACCACTAAGGGAGCAGAGGCAGGTGGATCTTTATGAGTTCCAGGCCAGCCAAGACCCTATATTAAAAAAAGAAACAAAAAAATTATGGTTTAAAGATGTAGACAATGCCATACCTCCTTTTTCATGTGAAGAAACTAAAATCTGCTTGTGTGTTTAAATATGTGTGTTTGTACATCATAGAACCAGATAGGGGGTAGTGAGAAGGGGAGGAAAAGCTTTTTTTTTATTTTTATTTTTATTGTGTGTATCAGGGTGTGCTAGGACACGTGCCACGGTATTTGTGTTGGAGGCCAGGAGACATCTTTTCAGAAACCAGTTTTCTTCTACCATGTGTGTTCAGGGACCAGACTCCGGGCACCAGACTTGGTAAGCGCAGTTCCTGCTGAGAACCTGTGCAGCCTGAGAGAAGACCTTAAGGGCCTGGGTGGGGGGAGTAGAGAGAGTAAGGGAATATGTGTGCTGGGAACACACAAAGGAAGACTGAAGGAAGAAGATCAGGTGGAGAGAGCCTGTGGGGAGGTAGTGGGGGATGGGACAACATGAGAGCCAAC